GAAAAAATTACCGAGAATTTTTTATAACGCAACAAAGTCACAATAACTAACATAGCACCACGCCTTTTATCTCCGAAAGGGTAGGCAGAGGTGCACATTACGGCACTTAATGTCACTGTACAATGTAACACACACTTTTCACTATTAATGTTACAAGTACCATGTAATAGGGGGTGAGCCTATTCCCATATACCGGGTACAACCTTATAGGTACACCGTGCTACAATTGATATTTTATAAAAAAAAAACCAAGTAATACTTTGCCCAACCCGGGAATCTAACTCGAGACACTTTGCCCGGCAGTCGCACTTGCGACTACTCGGCTAATGAGGCAGTCACAATAACTAATATCTAATTAACCCAAAAAGGTATATTTTTAGCGCATTAGGTACAAAATAAACGCGACACAGAGCTTATATATATGGTATAACCGACGGACGTCGTTGACAAGAGTTAATCAGACAATTTACATATTGATTAATTGCTACACAGGATCGACTCATCGACTGTTACTTTACGTGTCTTTTTTAATATCGTTGCCAAGTTATTTCTGTACACCAAGTAATAGAAAACTAAAGTTTATTTTGCTGGAATACAGTTGGGTTACTGTTTTGTGTATATTGCTTAGTGGAAAACTGAACGACTGGGCAACTTCAGCTGATTCTCGGTTTGCAAGTATTCAAAAAATGTAACTCAATGAAAAACTGACTGAAATGACTGCCTCGCTGGCCGAGTGGTCGCAAGACTGCCGGGCAAGGGGTCTCGGGTTCGATTCCCGGGTCGAGCAAAGTATTATTGGGTTTTTAAAAAATTCTCAGTAGTAGCTAGGAGTCTGGAACTATGCCCGATATATCGCAATAGTCTCACCCCCTATTACATGGGACTCATAACATAAATAGTGAAAAGTGGGTGTTACATTGTACAGTGGCTTAATGTGCACCTCTGCCTACCTCTTCGAGGATAAAAGGTGTGATGTTATGTTAAGTCAATAAAAAATTAGAAAAACGAATTAAACTGTCAAACACCAAGCGGTCACCGGTGACCGCAACCTATTGTTCTATAATTGTGTCTACAAAACCGGTACTCGACGAGTTAATGTAGAAAAATAATTTGGGGCAATGGGTCCCTTACTCCCGTAGTGACTTCTTGCAAAAAATTGCAATGGTGCTTTCATCAAAACGAGCCATAATGCAACAAAATATATACAACTAAAAACTTTTAAAAAAGTACTCTCACATCCCACTAAATTGTTTAACACTAAAGCTCCGCTCCGCTAGGCAAAGCAGTGCCATTGCCATACGTCAAGTCCAAAGTTCAATTGCTAGATGGATAATGTTATCGATTTTGCAAGTACCAACCAGAACCTAGACGAAAGAGGTGATATTGCATACTAAATAGACTTACTTTTAACAGTTATAGGTACTATTGATATGAATCCTTAGACCCCTAAAGATATAGAATACTAAAAATATAATTGAAAATATGAAGACTAATTCAATCATATAATACAATTTAGATTCTTTCCATCCTACCCAATACCCAACCGTTCCATAGCCGAATAAAACAGTTATCCCAAAAAAAATATGTCTAAAAACCAGTTAGCAACAAGAAAAATTAATAAAAAATGTAACTACATACCTCCAACACCCGTCATCAGCCGTTAATATGACAAAACAAAGCTGCAATGATCTTATCTATGCTTTTATATAGGACCTTATCAACCCCTTTCGATATACCGATCAATACTTTTATCTGTTGCCTCGTGTGGCGGGTTAGTTTTGTTAATATCATGTAGGTTTTATGTTTTATCCACAAAGGGGATAAGCAGAAATTAAAGTGTTATCTAGAGGGTAGTAACCGTTATTTAGCACAGGTTTGGTTAAATATTGGGGGCTTGGTCGGTTGAATACGAGTGATATTTAAGGTGGGTATAATATACATTTTTATGTCTAGTACAGAAACTTATTTCGTCAGACAAGAGTAAAGTATAAATGTCGCCACAAATTGGGAAAGGTATATCCATAATACTATTGTATTTATGTCTTCCTTCAACATACTGTGGATCACACAAACAGTTGTTCCGGGTGGAAATCGAACCTGCTACACGTTCCGCGGTAGCCAGTTGCCCAGCCACCGTACCAACCGTGCAGACATTTGCAGATTATATCAATGTAATATTACGGAGAACGATATTAATTTGGTACTTTCACAATAAGTACTCTTTGGCAAGCAGGGTCCTTTCTGTAAGGTAAGGAAAAATAATGGATAAATAAGTAAATGTCAAAAAGGCTATTGAGAAAATGATATATATAATAGTTTGACGCGTTAAAAGATAGATGTAGACTTTTACGTCATTAAGTACGTAGGTATGTTGATAGCTATCGCTGGATAAAAGTAGAAAAATGATGATGATGCCAAAAAAAATGTTTTTTCCTTGGTGAATGAAATGTCTCACATAAATACCTAATATTATAAAGTTCATGTTCAATACAATACCCTTATATTCCATATAATTGTCATATCTAGACGACGAAGGCCTACCTATTCTCAATTATTTAGGTATTGACCAAAGGCCTATGCTCACACGGAGAAGATTAGCGATTTCAAACTTATAATTAGAGATTATAAGCCCAAGTTTCCTCACGATGTCATAAAGTCAACATCAAAGTCAAAACACCCATGTCACATTGGTACTTGCTGTTGGTAGGTTTCGAATCTGCACCCTCATACATGAGAAGCGGGCGTCGGGCGTTATTTAGACCAAAATTTGTCTGATGATTACCTATTGACTAATAATTAATTTAAAGTTATATTAGTTCAATCGCTTAGCATTTCCAGCAGTCAACCTTCGACCCGATACATATCGACGGAACCTTACTGTAAAACACATTAGGTACGTATTGACAAAATTAACATTCTTTTGTGATCATAAATATTTAGTGTTTCCTGTGACCCACTGTGATTATTGTAATGATTGTATCCTTTTGTTCACTGCCTCCGGGACTATTACATTATAGGACACTTTAAAAAATTCTTTAAATCAGTTTTTTTTTCTTTATTTTAATTATGAAGGGTTTTATCAAAATTGACAATGTCACCCTTATGATGATAGACTTACTAACTTATAATCTACGCTTTATAGCTATCTTTGATGATGGGTTTCAAAGGACTATATTACATTTATTGTTTATATTTTTTATGTTTTATTTAAATCAGTTTCTGTTCGGTAAAATAATTAAATGTTTCGTTATAACTGTAATTAGAAGGTTAAGAGAGCTTTTTTCAGGCATAGTAACACTGGTTTGGTATCTGGAAACTACCAACGATTAGATAGAGGCGAAATTAATTAATCAACAAAATTGGATACACCTTAGTAATACCAAATACATGTACATCAATGCCAAAGTTTTGGATTAATGTGGTGGCTCGGAGGTTTAAGACGCGCGCTTCTCATGCATTAGAGTGCGGGTTCGAAACCTACCAACGGCAATTTTGTCGATTTTGATGTGCTCCTTTCGATTTTCATTTTGCACCTTTCGATCCCCCTCATTTCCTCCTTAATGAAGAGACTAATGTGACATTTTCCGAGTTATATGTGTTTTCTAAGATTATTTAGACGCCACAGACAAACGGTGAAGGAAATGATCTTGAGGAAACCTAGGCTATTAGCCCATTTCGAATTATAAGGTTGAAATCGCCAACCCGCATTGAGCAAGTGGTGGTGGTGGTAAATTTGTGGTGATAAATGGCCTTTCTTCTTAATTCTCCGTGTGAGGCCTTTGGTCAGCAGTGGCCACTTATAGGCTATTGATTGATATTGTTGTTGATTAATTTCAGCCGTTATTCACTTACTTACAATCCAAGTCCACCAAAGACACTTCGATCCCGGTTTTTAAAAACACAGAATAATGATTTGTTTGTCGAATTGAATGTAAGCAATAAATAGCATTACATTTGCAAGTGAATCTACAGTGACGTCTGAACACAGGGTTAAAGAACCGACGGTACCTATACAGCTATTTTTAACTACAATACTAAAGTTTAAAATAATGTTTGTTACATAAATTATGTATTATTTACTGAAATAGAATACAATGCAGTTAATTTTTTTATCAGCAACTAGCTTCGGCCCGCGACTTCGTACGCGCATTCCCATTTTTTTCTGTTCCTGTTTAAAAGTACCCTATGCCCGTCTCCTGGCTCTAATCTACCTCCCCACCAATTTTCATCGAAATCGATTTAGCTGTTTTTTAGTTATAAATAGTGTAACTAACACAACATTCTTTTATATTGGACTAGCGACCCGCCCCGGCTTCGCACTGGTGCAATATGCATATATTATACATATAAACCATCCTTAAGAATATCTCTATCTATTAAAGAAAACCGCATAAAATCCGTTGCGTAGTTTTAAAGATTGACGACTTTGTTTTATAATATGAAGTGATAGGTAGGGTTGGCCGCTATCTCGCCTGATGGTAGGCGACGATGCGGCCTACGATGGAGCACGTCCATCCAAAAGCAACCCATTCACTCGCGATTTGAAAACACCCAGGTTGTACTGGAAACACAGACTCTGGCAAAGCTTTCCACTACTTTGTTGTTCGGACAAGAATACTCGAAACAAAACGCTTCGTTTGGGTGAAACATCATGATGTTTTCCCATTTGTCCGGTACTGCGATGGTAAAATGGGCTGCGAAGTATTACGTTGTCCAATAGATATATTAGAACTAATGGTAGAAAGCTCTGCTAGTTTCAAGAGAAGCTAGCGCTGCGACAAAACACGTGCCGTAGAATTCATAAAATGCGCATCACATGTGTGTCTATTTTATTTAAGTACCTATTTCTATTTACAATGGAAAAAATAAATCTAATATTACACTAATGTGTACTAACTTATTCTTTACCTATATTATGTCACTACTACTACGAGTTGGTCATAAAACGTCTGTAGAATTTAACAAAACAATATTAAGTTCAGGCAATAGAATAGACTCACCTCAGACTGCAAGGAAGCTTGTAGTTCATCAACTAGCTTCTTTAACGATGCAATCTGAAACAACAATATCGACATTAAACATAAGATCATACACAATGATGACTATAGACAGCAGGTTCTATTGCCACCCACCAGGGACAATTCCGAATTCTGCATTCATATGATGATTTATTACGTTTTTAAAAATGCAGGCGGATCACCTAATGGTAAGCAATCAGCATCGTTCATGGATACTCGACTCAACACTAGAGGACCTATTTAGTGTTATTTAGTGTACTGTCATGTTGCCAAAAAAAGTACCTAGGCTCTTTTCTATAATGTTTGAAAATAGTAACTGTAATAAATGCTTTTCTTTCCTTCGTCTTTTCTAACTACTGTCACATCGAAAACATATAACTCTGCCCGCCCCTACACACCTTGTCGGTCATGAGACTTACAATTACAGCTACCTAGCAGCCCATCATTATCGCCTTTTACTCGATTAGGTACATCTAGTGTTGTAATGTAACAGTGGCAAAACCGTAAAAATCCTAGGACCCCGATTAATAAGGACCTCAGGACAAAGTAATACCAAAATGTATCACTCCACAAACCAAGTACATGGACCTTTTTCAACGTGTTACTTTTATGTGAGTGAGCAATCGACGCAGTCCATGGACACCTGGAACACCAGAGGCGTTACAAGTGCGTTACCCGCCTATTGCGGACTAGGAATTTGAGGATTGTTGGGATACAGGGATTGAGGACATTGGGAAAGGGAAAGGGATAATTAAGCCTCTGATAACCTCACTCACACGAAGAAACACAACGCAAGCATTGTTTTACGTCGGTTTTCTGTGAGGCTGTGGTATCACTCCGGTCGAGCCGGCCCATTCGGGCCGAAGAATGGCTCTCCCACACTTAATTTTTCCGTGTTGTGACAGGAAAAGCGTCATAACGCTGTTACATACGTTCGTTTTACATAAAGACAGTGAGTGCTACGTAAACACCCACTTGCGATGCCAATACATTCCACTCTGACCTATTGGTGGCGCGCATTTTAATCGCTTCCAAATTTGAATTACAAAACGCAGCTCCGCCATTGGTGCGTTCGCGTATCTTTTTTTTAAACAACCTCGATGACAAGGTTTTTTGTATAGTCTGTAATATTTATTGTAGCTGTAAAAAGTTTCGTTTTCTATTTTTCATTCAGTTACGTTTGTGTTTTAAGACATGTGTGCAACTCGTTATACCTATACGTAAATTAATTATTTCATACATTTAAATTAACATTCAGACAAAATTAAAATAAATAAGAGAAATAGCGAAAGTTGAAAGGATATAGCAGATACCTGTATCGACAAATAAGATTACGACTGCAATGACCATCGCTAAGAGCCAACAAGACTGCCAACAAACATTATTGGAATCAGCAGAAATAATTATGAATCTTTATAAAGAAGAAAATAGGAACCTTTCTAAGTATAACTAGGTTCTTAGACAGGAAATCTATTTTCCAGTTTGTTCGCATCTAAAACTGTTCGATCGATTTACAATTCAGTAGGTCGAACTATAGTACATACATACCTTCCTAATTCCTATTTGAATGTTCAAAAGTTCATGCAAAACATCCTGTCAATCAGTCAGTCAGTCAGTCTTCAAAACTATTGCATATGTATAGACAAATGTGACAAGATCCCGTTATATCTCATGGTCCATGACTCCACGTGAATCTCTTCAAAAAACGTTTTCCTGTTCCATATTCTCTTCCTGGTTTTAAACGATTCCAATTGAATCTTCAATTTTATTGTTTAGAATATTTTGCTTAGGACATTGAGTCATTTGACGTAAGCATTGTTAAAAATTATTGGGAGACAATGACTTTGGACGTAAGGCCTTCTACATGGATTTTTAGAAAAATTAAATTGTTATTATGAGACTGCTTCGTTGGCCGAGTGGTCGCAAGTGCGCTTGCCAGGCAAGGAGTGTCGGGTTCGATTCCCGGGTCGGGCAAAGTATTAATGGGTTTTTTTTTTAAATCTCAATAGTAGCACGGAGTCTGGAATTGTGCCCGGTATATGGCAATAGGCTCACCCTCTATTACATGGGACTCAACATAAACACACATTATGTTGTACAGTGGCATTAAGTGCACCTCTGCCTACCCCTTCGAGGGTAAAAGGCGTGATGTTATGTATGTATGTATGTTATTACGAGAATTGGAGTTTATGAGAAAGGATCTGTTTGAGTTAAGATCACGCACGAAGCGAAAGAAAGTGAAAGAACAAAGGGATAGAAAAGAAATAGGAAAGCTTTGTTTAACATGGAACAGTATGGACTAATAACAAAGCTAGCCAAAATTAACCCAGATAACTAAAGAAATGGTAAGGTTCATTCATCAAAGAAAACCTTCTGTAAATTAATTATTGAAAATCTAGCAAACAGTAAAGTATCCATTATAAAGCAGACAACAATCAATAAAACAAAAACATGCCGAAACAACATCAACTTCAAAAAGAAGATCAAAAACACGATAAAGTCAAAAAATACAATATAAAAACTCACTTTTGCATAGGTTCTTGTTAGGAAACGAGCGTTTTTTCAATATAAAATCAATGAGATATCGTCTTATAGAAAAAAAAATCACGCAACAGGACTCACCAGGTAGTTGGTCGTGTAACACAAAAACAAGAATCGTCAGTGAATGTTTAGCAATGGTAATGTAATGGTAAACATCAGATTATCATAGGAACTGGGACACAGATTATAATCGCAGATTCGGTCATTGACAAATTGAATGCTTTTTTAGGGTACCGCTGCCACGGGGACTTGAGGACGAACACTATAAGATACTTCTGCGTTTTAAGCATCAAGTTGTGATTTTTGTTCCATAATTTCTTTGACATTTATGCCAATCGCAGAAGGTGGTATGAGTTTTATGTATGGTTGGCGCTTTAGCTCCTAAACGAATGGTTAGATTAAGATTGCAAGTTTTTTATAATGATTTTCCATAGCAAGCATAAATCTGAATTATTTCTTTTATGCATTTTTAACAAGCTTTAACAAAAACAGGGTTTGACTTCTCCAACAATGGATTTTCATAGATTTTATTCGTATATAGGTTTTATTCTTAGCTACATGGAATACGAGGCAAGGTCCAGCGCAAATCTAAGATTTTTCCTAAATTCTCTGTATAGGTACGATATCTATAACTACCTAAAGAGAAATACGAAAAACTAAATATAAGATTTGCTTGGTAGACACACTGACGACCATTCGACCAGTTAAAAATTAATTGTCAATACAAAATCTCCACGGAACCACGACACCCATCTTTAACTACGGCCTGTACATCATCCCGACCCACTGTAGGGAGGTCTTTGTCCCCTAGTCAACGTAATATTACGAAATTCAAATGAAAGAAGGAAACAAATGATTCAGATCACAAGATATATACTGGACACTGACATATTCGCACTTCGAATCTGTAAAACCCTGGATACATCAATGTGTTTTTTTGACACCATATCACCATAATTTTGTGAATGGAAATATTGCATGTCCCTGGAATTATTGGCTAACTTCCTGTCTACGCGTATGTATGTGAAATTGTGAATCGACTAGTTTTGGCATATAATTTCATTGACTTGAAACTATTTGTCATTTTTTATCATAGGATGAATGAATATAATGGAAACTAAAGGAGTATGTAAGATTATTCTGTAGTTTCTACAATGATGGGTTTTTCACGTTACAAAGAGGAAAATTGATTTCATACATAGTAAGTATGTATATTTCATAGCACTCCTTCGACAAACAAAAAGTACGACACCTTCATTAGCCTTTTTGGAATATAATACATAGATACATGTGACGTTGGGAGCACCAGAGCTTATGACATGTGCACTAGGGTATTATCATCTGAGGCACAGTCCCAGATCAGTCGAAAACTGCGACAATATCCCAAATGTTACATTGACTTTTAAACTCATTAGAGCCTGTCATTACTGCCTCGTTGGCCGAGTGGTCGCAAATGCGCTGCCGGACAAGGGGTCTCGGGTTCGATTCCCGAGTCGAGCAAATAATTACTGGGTTTTGAAAAATTCTCAATAGTAGCAAGTAGTCTGTAATTGGGCCAGGTATATGGCAATAGGCTCACCCTCAATTACATAACATAAATAGTGAAATGTGGATGTTACATTGTACAGTGGCATTAAGTTCCGTAATATGCACCTCTGTCTACCCCATTGGGGATAATTGCGCGATGTTATGTCTCATTAGAGCTTTCGATTGATAAGAACGACGAACCTGTTAAGGTAAAACAGCTTTTTAAACGAGAAAACCACCTAACAGCTAAAGCTATCAACGTCCCAAATACAAAATGGCATATAGAGTAAAATACATATAAGTTTTGGAACAGAATAACTTGTTCAAGCCAACAAGGTAATCCAAGCTAGGCGGGCACAGGTTTCGGCCGAAAGCTGTGCGTTATCACAAGTTATCGCTGAGCAAACATGCGATACCGTATCTACCCTACCAACGGCCACTCGCCGCGTGTAGAACGTGTGGCGGGGTGGGCTATGAGAACCGCGACATTACTACGTACCTGGGATATCTAAGCACTAGGCAATCCTAGTGCTGATACAAAGTCAAAGTCAAGGCTTTTAATTAATCGTTTAAATTTTAATTAATCGCTGATTAGGCACTTTTCAAACATCAAAAATTGAATTGTCAATGAAGCTAGGCGCTCGTTCCAAAGCGTAGTTTCGAATGGAGAAGACCAAGCAAGAAACTTCATATAATTAACAGTAGAGGATTATGTTATGTGTACTGTACCTTTTTATTACTATACTGGCTTATTTTCAAAGTCAAAGTCAAAGCATTTATTTCAAACTAGCTTCTGCCCGCACTTCGTACGCGCAATCCCGTTTCTCCCGTTCCCGTAGGATCTTCAGGACTTTTTGTCATAAGAACCTTCTCCTGACGATAACAAACACAACAAAAAATACTGCCAAATCGGTCTAGCCGTTCTCAAGTTATTGCGTGACAACGGGAAACGGGTTTCATCTTTATAG